TCCCCCTTCCCCCCTCCCCACCGCGCCGCCGAAATGTAAGCAATGAGTGCAGGGCACGTGGAAGGCAGCAGCGCACATACTATATCACCAGCGCAGCAGTTGGTTTTTCACTGTTTCTGCACGGTGCAGGGGACCAATTGCTGGTGCTGAGGTAGTGATCAGTGAACCCTTATTGACTAGTCCAGTGTCTTAGTGCTTTTGTATGTTGGTGTATCGAGGAGCCTATGGGATGCAACCACTAACTTCAGGAGTCTGCGTTCGAAAGTCGGACCTCACCGCTACATGATCATATATTGGAGCGCCAGGATATTCTCTAGAACACTGATCTCGCTTGCCACTGACACTCCGTACCAGGTCAGCAGGATAGATCTTTTCGCGACCAAAATCTTTCTTTTAGCCTCGGTTATCAGTCCAGGCCCCCTAGGCCCTGCACCATGACACTATCCTCTCCAGCCCCCGAGGTTGCGCAATCCTCTGTCCACGAAGCGCAGAAGGCTCACAAAGCAGGTCTTCAATCTGCAAACTCGACCACAAAATCTCCCTACCATGTTATCAGCGAAGCGACACTGTTCTCGACGATTGACCAGCACCAATACTGGCATCATGTGGCCCCAATGCTGGGGAAGATGCTGATGCATGGGGATTACGATATCCACCAGCAGTACTACTTCATGTCGATCTTCGCGAACCTCATTGTTCCAATGCTGGGCCCCTATCCGTCGGACGGACGCAGCGTGTACAAGTGCGCCCTTGGGAGCATCGGATCCGTTGAGCTGAGCCAAAACTTCCAACCAACTATGTCCACGGCTCGCGTGGCTTTCGAGCCTACCAGCTACTTTGCGACCACCGGCTCTGATCCATGTAATCGATTCGCCATGGATACGGCCTTGATTAAGCTCAAGCAGCTGGGCATAGATATGGATCTGTCGCTACACCACATCTTCGTGAATGAGCTGCAGTTGACGGACACCGATGAGCGGACGGTAACCAAGAAAACGCTACTTGCGGAGAAGTTCAAGACGCAGAATCTTTTGGCCCTGGACCTGACCAGGCAAGGGATCACGGTCAAGGAGTATTTCTATCCGGCGCTGAAGTCTGCGGCCACCGGGAAGCCCATCCGCCAACTATGCCTCGATGCCTTGCGCAAATGGGACACCGGCCGTCGGTTCGAGGCGCCTTCGCAGGTGGTCAACTCGTACTTGGAAGAGAGCCAGACGGACGCCTACTTTCTGTCGTTTGACCTGGTCGATCCGCTCGCCACGCGATTCAAGCTCTATGTTCTGGAGCTGAACGTGACGTTCGCACAAGCGCAAAACCACTGGACGCTGGGCGGCCGGCTGCAGGACCAGGATATTCTCCATGGGCTGGAGTTACTGCGCGAGCTTTGGGTCGGGTTCGGCATTGTGGAGGGCCAGCGAACGCCGCCAGATCAACCGACCCGCCCTGGCGATCCGCCGACGCTGATGCCGTTCTTCATCAATTTCGAGATGAAGCCCGGCCAAAGCCTGCCCAAGCCCAAACTGTATATGCCGCTGACGGGCATCCCGGAATCCAAGATCGCGAACACGCTGACAGATTTCTTCACCCGCCATGACATGCCAGATCAGGCCAGGGTGTATGCCGACAATCTCCAGTCGTACTAGTAAGTGGACATATTACATCGCTATGCACGACCTCTGCTAATGCCTCCGACTAGTCCAACTGAGGACATGGATGTGGTGACTGACCACCAAGCTTGGTTGTCCTTTTCTTACTCGAAGAAAGGTGGCCCATACCTGTCTATGTACTATCATTAGCTGCCCGGTACGGGCAACCTCCTTGGGTAGGCGAAGTGTTTGCGGCAGTTTGCACGGAGGAAGGAGGAGGGCGTATACGTGGATCTAGTGCTCTAATTGTCCACCATTAACAAAGCGTTGATGGCTGACTTCGATTCACATTAGTCAGACAGACAAAAACAAAGTCAAACCATAGAACAACTGATTTTTCTGTCCTCATTTCTCTCCGTTGCAACGATTCTATCAAATAACAAAATGTACTGGTATTACATATTCCGAATCCGCCGTGTTGTTGACGAGGCCCAACTGATTAGCGATGCCAAGCTGGCCCCTACTGGCGCTACAGCCTACAACACCAGTGAACGGGAGGCAATTCCATGATACTGGCAGGAAAATACTACATTGTGAAGAAAGTCGTTACACGGAGCATTGGCAGGCTTGCTGATGTCAAAAAGAGCCATGCCTCGAAGCTCGAAAGTGTGCTAGGGGGACGCGCAGTGGCCTATATTCGGTCCTATTCAACGCCAGAGCTCACATCCGAAACACACCGCCGCCTCCTCTCCCTTACGTGGAGCACGGGAGACAGTAGAATATCGTTTGAGCGGTCGTATGTTGGTCCTGAAAAGCGTTCCTCTGCATTATAAGTAATTGTCTTGTCAGATTAAGCTGTCCCTTGCGTTGTAATGTAGGGACCTTGTATTGTCTATTGTAGCATAGATGGGCTGCATGCCGAGTCATTCACAGCAGCTAGGGCTAACAAGCGGTCTGGGTCAGAAACATCTCCTTGCCAGCGGAACAGACAACATAAGGGTATTCTGCGGCGGCGAGTTCATCACAGAATATCACAGGTGGTCACAGAGGCTAGAAAGCACGCAGCAATCTAAGAATGACGATACGCAATGGTGTTGCGCTGACGGTGTGGCTCATGGCATTCGTCAATTCTTGTTGGAGCTCCTTTTGTTGAAGGTTTATGCCACCGTACAGAGGTTGAAGAACACATAGGGAGTTCTGTCTTAGATACTCGCAGTTAATTTGATGATAAGGACAGATAAAGCCATTCAAGCCAGTTAGCCCAGTGAACAATGGCTTCCAGATTGATGTTCTTACCAAAGGAGCATGGTAGAGATGGGCTGCAAATTTTGCTGGGGACTCAGGGCGCGTCTGTTTGCCATTGACTTCTTGCCGGGGGATGTCATGACCAGCCTGCGCTAAATTCAGAGAACATGACCCTGATTCTGAATAGATTTGTGCTGACAGTAGTATATTATCAGCTGCAGTTATAGTTAGTGCATAATTGAATGTCATGTAGTAAGACGAGGCTTAACAAGATTAAGCCTAGCGCTGAGGATATGAAGCACCTTTGATCTGCTTCCCTTCAAGCAAGTGGATCATAACAGGGCTCTTTTTGAGCTTCTATGTTCTCTTTGCTTAGGCTTCCCTTTGCCCCGTGATATTCAAACATCAATCCCACATGGTCGACCCCCCGACGAGATGAGCTGACCCGCATAGCCAATCTGGGTTCCACTGAATATGATGAACCTTCGGCGCAAATATAGCGAACTTAGTTCGTGGCTGCCTGGTCCAGTCAGCGTGCTATCCACCGGCTTTATTCTCAAAGGGGAGCGCGGAGCGTAAGTCGACCCTACTTGGCACTTAAGGGGGTGAACAGTCATTTGACTAGGATCATGTAATTAGTTTAACCTGCTGGCTTCAGGGTTCTTGTAAGTTCTCAAGCATGTCTGATTCTCCCTTCCTGCTATTCTAACTAGGTTAGCTGGTACTGGCAAGACATATCTCACATCGAGGGTCATTGATCTTGTTCAGGGCATGCTCAACAACACCCCAAAGGATGAAGGCTTCACATTCTTCTACTGTGACAAGACCGAACCAAATTATGGGCAGGCACTGTCTATTTTCCAAAGCTATATGCACCAGCTTTCCACCACCGCAAGGAACCCCGGATCTATTCAGACTCGACTTAAGGAGAAGTGCAAGAAAGCTCAAGACGCAGGCTCAACTCTCAGATTTGATGCATGCAAGCAGCAGATCCTAGAGTCCCTGAATCTTTACACAAAAACCACGCTAGTTCTTGATGCCTTTGATGAATGCGACCCCGAATCGCGTGGAGAATTGGCTGATGCGCTGAAATCTCTCCTACTTCTGTCAAAGAATACCGTCAAGGTATTTATCTCAAGCCGGCCTGATCCAGACATCCAATGCGAATTGGAAGGGTGTACCAGCGTAAGTATCCAAGCAAGCAGCAACCAACTGGATATCCAGAATTTCCTTGAAGAAGAGCTGGAAAAGCTTGCAAAAACAACCGCGTGTATTAGACGCTTGAAAACCGCTATTGTGGATAAACTGCTTGCACGTTGTCAGGGAATGTTCCAGTGGGCAGCTCTGCAGATCCACCAGATACGCACATGTAAAACTGACAGTTCTGTTTTGAAACGCCTTGACACCCTTCCAGAAGGCCTCCAGAAGGCATACGACGAGGTCTGGAGCGAGATCGAAAGATTGGAGGAGCCGGACCAGTCCCTCACGAAACGCGCCCTTTTATGGGTAATGTCTGCCTGCAAGCCAATGAGCAGAGATGAGCTCCTATGCGCTATTCGTGTGAACCCGACAGAAGACTGCTCTTGTTGGACGACGAAATTGACGAGCCAGGCTTGCTGTCACTTTGTAAGAATCTCCTTGTTATTGACTCTCAGTTGAACGTGTGGCGGTTTGTACATCTGTCGGTTTGTGAATACCTCGAAAACAAAGTGAAATGGACCATTGAACGGGCACATTTTCACGCTGCCAGGGTTTCGCTCTTGGTCCTCGACGACACTTTCAAGAAAATTGGCCCTGACGCTGCATCGGACCCATCAGATTGGCCCACGGAACCCGACAGCTTCAATCTCAGTCACCCATTTCAGATTTGCACAAAATTATCACACAGTACAGTACTGTAACTACCAAGCCTAGTGATTTTAGAAGGAAAAAGACAGCCTCGCACGCCAAGTGAGGCCGTTGGACATGACGAGCCAGGCTCCGGTGGCTTAGCTCCTTCAGGCTCACTTGCAGCCCTGCTTAGCCATCAGGATAGATATAACTTGGCTGCATAGTCGCATCACTATTGTAATTTCTCCCTGACCCTGTTTGTGGCTTGGTCTGTTAGATAATCATCATTGGGTGTAGCCAATTATCCTTTGCAAAGGGATTTTCAGGTCACAAATACACATCTAGGTTGAGGATTGTCGCTAGAATGAATCCAATAAATTCTATAGATGTATTAAATAATTTATATGTAGATTATTTTGATATAAAAAGATCTTGATTTAGATCTCGTACGTTTTACTATAGTATTTCACAGTACCTATACAAGCGCTGGCATAATATCAAAGACCAGAAACCATAAAGTCTTTACAAAACTACTCTCTATCACCAGTGTCACCTGATGGACCATATAGGACCCATATACAGGATATTTCAATAACCAACAACTAGAGAGGCCAAGCTAAAACCTGGTAGTAAACGGCCCGATCACGCAAGGAAATTGATATCCAATGCGGATACCACAGAATAGCCCAAAGGCATAGTAATAAAGAAAAGAAGAAACCAGCCCGTCATCATGAGTACAAAAGCCTTCCCAAGGAATCCAAAGTAGCGAACGCGACCAGCAAAGGTAAAGCTAACCCATGCATCCGAAATATTCAATCTCCCGCTCCCTCCAAGCGCAACGGGGACCACCTTCCCGCCAAACGTATGGTCAAAGGGCACAGCCAGCTCGATATGCTCGGGCAGTAAGGAAGCAGCCTGTCGGATAAAGATCGCACGCGTTGGAGCAACACCTAGGAAAAACAGAAGGGCTGTCGCAAGCAAGGTTATTCCAATTGTGTAGGATTCCGTAGTGCTGGTGATTGAGCCTGCTCCACCCGCCTTACCGAATTGTCTAATCAGAAATATGGGAAAGTAGAAATTCGCACTTGCCAGAGTGCTGGAGAGGGTAGCGATCGGGGCAATAGTTACCCAGCTACTTAGACCTGGGATGTACTGATAGAACCGCTGATGAGAAGGCCGTGAGATGATGATATGGACGAGAGCCACCTGCAGGATTGAAAGAGACGTTTCGATGGCTGCGTTATAGAGGAACCATTGGAAGATATTATTGTCCCGGAGAGGACTGAGAGGAGTAAGGTAGATCAAGACTGCTTTGGCCAACCGGTAGGCTAGAGCCATGCTTAAGCCACGGTACCGATACCAGTGACCAAGGTGTTGCTCAAGACATTTTCCCACTGTGATAAGGCCAGTGGGACTGGGCTTTGAGGCAGCACCTCTAAGTGTAGAGCGTTTTTCATCAGCAGGTTTGTCGTTATTAGTTTCGGAGTTCTCATCCGAAGAACCATGTAGGGCTGTTGGAGAAGTTTCAACTGCTGCAAGTACAGGTACTACTGCACTGTATGTGTATAGAACCTTGATGAATGGTTTAGCTTGAATGTTCTATGATTCAAAACATAAAAAAAGAAACCTTAGAGGATATCACCTACGAAGCAAAGTATCGTAAATAGAGAAATCGCGAACAATTCTGGAATCCATAGATGTGAGTCCATATTGCTATTTGATGGCCCAGTAGCTGACTGTGGTGTAAAGTTAGAAGCCGTGAGGGTACTGATAAACACGCTCAGTTTCAGGGAATTTTGGAGAGAGCTGGCTGGAGGCGGGGCATGACGAACTATCGGGAAGTCATTGACAGTGATTAAGGGGAAACTGGTCAGGTGCTTTGCATTTTAAGCTAAGAGCATAGCTAATGCAAATAAGCTAGATTAGCAGGTATTTTGTGGGATGTTGACAGGCTGTGACCCAGAGACGTGGTAGGAAAATACATTCCACCCATCAGATAGCGTGGTGTTAACGCTATATAGTACTTATAAAACCCATCTAGCCTCCTTCAAGGACAGTTAGATTATACCTTTTAATATGCCTCCACATTCATTTCATCTACTTCAGCTGCTTGATGTTGCGTGTTTTAGGCCCCTAAAGCATGCATACGGTATGCAGACATAAACTATGGTACAACTAGGAGTCAATCATATATCAAGCAGAGCAAGACAGCGTTTTAACTAGTAAACATACTACACATGAGGAATGAGATGGAAGGTCTTACTTCTCCTAACAATCTGAAAATGAACGGCTATTTAACTCCTAAAAAGAGGGGTCAAATGAAACCATTCTGGATATAGTAAACCGACATGGCGTACTAGACGTAGTATCCCGATATCAACAGGCAGTATCCCGAAATTGATGTATTCGTATAGAATATGATCTGTATAGCAGGAAGAAACACCGCTGAGTAGGTTTTCCAGGGAGAGATAGCGGTCATTTTGGTCGACAACATACTGATAAGTGTTGATTCCTTGAACATCTACCAACAAATACAACCAGAAGTGTTTTCAATGTACAGTGGATTTGCTGCTACAGGCCTGGTCCCATATAAGCGTGCTTGATAAGCTTCACATTCAACTTGAAACACCTACTCCACCAGGTAGCTCACGTAGTAAGAAGCTATCTAGCTGGGCTGCAGAGACCCCTACTACTCCCAGGCAGCTGCAGAAGCAATCAGCTGTAATCAAAGGCTCTGGAGGCAGCGCACACATGGCCACCAAGCCCTATCAGCTGTCCGGTAGATCAAGTGGTAAAGGGTGCTCAAAATGCAATGCAAAACGCACTGCTTTTAGAAAATGAAGCTAAGCAATTACCCACTGCTAATGAATATATAAAAAGCGAAAGCGGGAAACTAAAAGGCCTTTTGCTTCAAGGGGTATTTTGACTGGGGCAGAGGGCCAACAGCGCACTCAGAAGGCTGCTAATCAGCCAGAAGAGGTGGAAGAGGAGGGGGGTGAGTAGTTACGAAAGCAAGCGCCACCACATTACAGCACTTGTAACGCATACTAGGGTAAAATAATAGCTGTTCTTGTCTATAAAAATTAGTCGTTTTAATTATCCTGGGACTAGATATCTAGTATTTTTGACTGTGGTCAAAAATCAAGTGGCTGCTCAGGGTAGTGCCCGCTCAGTAGTAGATTACATTAATACCACAGCACTTATCAATATTGGGGGCCTGGCCCCCATACCCCTCCTCTTTATATCTTAACCAAGACTACTAAGCTCTGTTAGTCTCTGTGTGCTCTAACTGCGTATAGTATAGGCAAATCCCCCTGAGTCAGTTCATTTCTAGTTTGACTCGCTCTTTATCACTTGGAGCAGTCCTTCCTGTGACTAGTATGTCAGTAAGGTGGCATGGAGCTAAATCTTGGCCGTCTCCTAGTCTAGTAACAGCGGCTCCTTGCTAGTTAAGCGAGTAAGGATCATGAGCTGTAGGATGGTGAACCCTTCACGATACCTCTCTCGTTGCTTTTATACCTCTAGGGGCTTCAAGGGTCTCCCGGAGGCTGCTTTTGGCGTGTTGTCTCGACTTTTAGAGGGTGTGTGTGTGTGCAACGCAGGGTGGAATGGAGTTGTCTGACTTGTAATTCGAAGGAGAGCAATTTAAATGTGTACACAAGCATGACAAAGTAAAAAATATAATCAATCCCCTGATTGCGCCATGGGAGGGGGGTGTTCCCGTGGTCTCGGATCGAGGTATCTAATCTACCCTGGGTGTATGTAATGGCAATAAAACACATGAACTAAATCAGACCCAGCGCCATGACCTCTGTGAAATGAGCAGTCGTGCCCCGAAACCTGATCTGAACTTGTGTCGGCCAAGCGGGGATGGGGTCTGCGATTGCGGAGCCCAACCACATCTCTGAGACTTGAAAACCAACTAGTCGTATATTCCTGACTATCTTCCTGGATCATCCGCCGGAACACCGCCAGCTTATGTTACCTTAGCCATAACCAGCACGGAGCCAAACATATCCAAACAACATACCATGATCTTAAATCGGATCTTAGCATGTGCCCAAAGCCTAGTGGCGCGGACCGCGGTATGAGATTACTGATTAGGGTACGGACTACGGACAATATCCGCTGACCATGCCATAAGCGCTAAAAGCTTGGTTCTTCCTAAAAAGCTTCTACCATCGCCCTGTGCGTAGAAAGTGACATCGGGGATTCTTTTCCGTGGATCCGGTGGTACTTTTGTTACGTTCCCTCAATAGCCCGATTTGGAGCCGTGCATCACACAGAGAGAGTGGAAGCCAATGTCGACCTATGATTGAGATAATCCTCCTTCTCTGGCTCCGGCTATGGATCCTACGTTTGGTTTCTCGCTTATCGGTTTAATAAAGCTAGCGTTGCACCACGCGCCATACAGAGAGTCGAACTATTGCTTGCCGCTCCCACCACGGGGCATCACCCTTTTGAGCGTATATTAGTGCGTTAGCTTATCAGGTGATATTCGGTGAAATCCGAATGTTAATCTATCCTTGGTTGATGCTCTTCACACTTGTTTGTCTAGTGGATAGAGCTTGTTTTATAGTTTTCTGGTTTCTGCTGCCTAGGTTGCCCGCTACAAATCTATGAAGGACTATCTTAATCGGTGGACCGGGAGTCATAACAATTGAATAAATACTAAAGCCGAAGTCAGGAAGCAGATAGTAATCATGACGGATAATTTCAGGAGACCAATGTTGGCCAGGCTCGTGGAGCCTAACGCTAGGAATCAAGCTAATGTAGCTTCAATGATGCTTAATGCTCGTTTGGGTTTCATTTCTTGAAAGAAGACACCACCAACACCATCTCAGACTCGGTAAATTATTCAATTGATACAGTAATCCTAGATAATTTCTTCTCTTTAGCCCTGCAGCCAAATAGAAAACGAAGGGAGATAAAGATTTTAGTACACTAGAAAGCCCTATATAAAGTTAATAACCTTAATAATATCTATCTTCTCCTGTATAGATTATGTTATATTAGTAAACAGATCCTATATTTGTATATAAGCCTCATCCTAAAGGTCTGGTAAATGATAGGTAGCTACTCTTACAACCCATAGCATTTCTACCATAGCCTACTAAGTAGTCAGAGCCTTACAGAACCATTGATGCACCTATATAAGCTGTGTCCCAGAGCATCTCAGCAGGAAGCAAAGTATGCCCAAGCCCATCAGGTATAGGACAGGTGAGTTATTATAGCTGGATAAATGTCAGATACTAACAGGCCTTAGGTTCCTTGCCCTACACATAACTACTGTCTCCCCACCCAACATCTAACCTTATAAAGGCTTTCTAGAATTCCTAGTAAGAAATATAAAAGATCTACTTTAAACTAAAAAAGAAGCTAATATTAACTATTATCTCACAGTCTCACCAGGCCATATGATTGGCCATGCAATACGGACTTATCAAAAATGTTGGGCCTTGAGGTACAGATGGCTCCTCCCCCAATCGCACAGGGTTCTGATGTAAGGGAAGTCTAGGATCCAGGAGTTAGATGTGATAACAGCGTACACTGTAATGGGCGTGCAGGGCGTTGTTTGACAGATATCCATACACAATAGGAAACTAACAATACCTGTCAATGCTCTTGCTACCACTTGGGTCTAGATAACAAGTTAGTTTTAGGAAGCTAGGAAGTGGTTCCGCTTGTCCCCACTGCGCGGCGTCTTTATCGTTGTCTATGTTATTGTTTTCCTCTTTTCCTTCCCCTTGTCTAGTACTGTCGACTTACAAGTAATGAAGTTCGGTCCCTCCCAGTCAAGCAAATATGTCGCGGTCTCGCGGAAGATGTGGTATATTATACTAACACTAGGGCTCATTGACCTGACACTCAACCTAGCCTGTGGTAAAGTAACCGTAACACCTCATTTCCAAGCTGTGATACATGGACTATTCTCCTTCTCCACTATCATCACTGCTACCTCTCCAGCTACCCGATCTGCTCGAGAGCCGCGCCACAACTTCTCCGTAGGCCGTCCTCCCATCTTCTCATATCCATCCTTCACCACTTCAGCAATTGCTGTGCCGCCCATTGAGCTGGCAACCACAGTGCTTTTCACATCCGCAAAGTCTAACTGTGGCAGTGACGCCCAGAATCGCGTTCGTATTGCTTCCACCACTAGTAGTAGCAATGCTGCCGCGTTGATTGCCGTGATCAGATAAATATAAAAAGGCTGGCCGATTCGATATGCCACCACCTGGGCGACAACATTTCGGATCTCATATTCTTGTGCAATCACCAACTGGGCACTTGATGCGCCTATATAAGCTGCGTCCCAGAGCACCTCAGCGGTATCCTGCATCGCGTGCAAAGGGTTCACTGTACCATTGACGCCGGCCGCATAGTACGTACGGTTAATATTGCGGATAAACATGTCTCCAATAAGGGAAGTGTAGGACGTCGTGCCGATCATGGAGAGGGAGGCTGCCGTGTCGGCGCCGCTCCAGACTATGTACTCCGGGGCAGGTGTGAACTCATCCACCTGGGTCAGCGTCTTCTGCGGCTTAACGGTGATTAGGCGCTCAGTAAGATCGACGTGCACAGCAAACAGCGTTGGCGAATAAGTGGCATTGCAGACAGTCGCATTCAGGACGCTGTACTTAGCGGAAGCACCCATGTAGAACGCCCAGTTATGTGTATTTGCTGCTGCAATGGCG